CATCCAAGTATATGGCGAAAGACTTAGGTGGTGAAAGGCTTTTCTTATCTCGACAGCACACTGTTCCAAAGCGCAACCATAGATGACGAGGTTAACCTCCGTATTGCGAGAGCCAGTGCAACCAACCTATGGAAAATTGACTAAGTACGTTGGACCAGGAGAGGTATCAGCACTCAAACTAAACTGAAAGTATATCAGGCGGCTGTTCTCCCTACGCTTCTCTGTGCCTATGAAACTTGGAGGTCTAACAACGTCATGCAAGAACGCTGAACCACTTTCATACAATAAGACTAATAAAAATCCTCAACATTAAATGGCAGGACAGGGTCCCAGACACTAAGGTGCTCACACGGGCAGGTCTCCCCAGCATCTTCACAATCTTGATGAAGTCCCAGCTTCGCTGGGCGGGACATGTGAGAATGTCAGATGACCGTCTGCCCAAAAGAATTTTCTTTGGTGAGCTTGAACAAGGAAAGCGGTCTGCTGGCAGACCGAAAAAAACGCTTTAAAGATAACATCAAAGCCTCACTGAAAGCGTTCAACATAAACCCAGACACGTGGGTGGAAAAAGCAAAGGATCGAACTTCATGGCGTTCCACTTTACACAGGAGCTCCATGCAACATGAAGTTGGCAGAACAGCGGCTGCTGAGCGCAAGAGACATGCCAGGAAGGCCCGGTCTGACTCTGCTCCCGGAGATGCGCCATCATTCCCCTGCACCTACTGCACAAGAGAATATCGTGCCAGAATCGGCCTCATTAACCATCTGCGCACCCACAGAAAGAACGAGCACAATCTCTGATGATTAAAGTGGTCACGATCGACTCCCGACTGACGAACAAACAGTTACATGTACATGGCCGGCCCAACGGTTGCTGGGCAAGCTTAATCTTGGCACCCCTTTAAAGTATAATCATACAAGGAAAAGACTAGGGGATTAGGTCAAAGGTTAATTACGTTACTTTTTTTTAAAACAATGAGCGGTCAAATTGTTTTTCTTAACTTGTATTTGGACAGTATGAACAATTAGCCTACCGTGGACAGTATGAACAATTAGCCTACCGTGGGCAGTATGAACAATTAGCCTACCGTAGACAGTATGAACAATTAGCCTACCGTGGGAAGTATGAACAATTAGCCTACCGTGGGCAGTATGAACAATTAGCCTATCGTGGGCAGTATGAACAATTAGCCTACCGTGGGCAGTATGAACAATTAGCCTACCGTGGGCAGTATGAACAATTAGCCTACCGTGGGCAGTATGAACAATTAGCCTACCGTGGGCAGTATGAACAATTAGCCTACCGTGGGCAGTATGAACAATTAGCCTACCGTGGGCAGTATGAACAATTAGCCTACCGTGGGCAGTATGAACAATTAGCCTACCGTGGGCAGTATGAACAATTAGCCTACCGTGGGCAGTATGAACAATTAGCCTACCGTGGGCAGTATGAACAATTAGCCTACCGTGGGCAGTATGAACAATTAGCCTACCGTGGGCAGTATGAACAATTAGCCTACCGTGGGCAGTATGAACAATTAGCCTACCGTGGGCAGTATGAACAATTAGCCTACCGTGGGCAGTATGAACAATTAGCCTACCGTGGGCAGTATGAACAATTAGCCTACCGTGGGCAGTATGAACAATTAGCCTACCGTGGGCAGTATGAACAATTAGCCTACCGTGGGCAGTATGAACAATTAGCCTACCGTGGGCAGTATGAACAATTAGCCTACCGTGGGCAGTATGAACAATTAGCCTACCGTGGGCAGTATGAACAATTAGCCTACCGTAGACAGTATGAACAATTAGCCTACCGAGGGCAGTATGAACAATTAGACTACCGAGGGCAGTATGAACAATTAGCCTACCGAGGGCAGTATGAACAATTAGACTACCGAGGGCAGTATGAACAATTAGCCTACCGAGGGCAGTATGAACAATTATCCTACCGTGGGCAGTATGAACAATTATCCTACCGTTGGCAGTATGAACAATTATCCTACCGTGGGCAGTATGAACAATTAGCCTACCGTGGGAAGTATGAACAATTAGCCTACCGTGAGCAGTATGAACAATTATCCTACCGTGGGAAGTATGAACAATTAGCCTACCGTGGGCAGTATGAACAATTAGCCTATCGTGGACAGTATGAACGATTAGCCTACCGTGGGCAGAATGAACAATTAGCCTGCCCGTGACAATTTTTCCTAGCCTATAGATCAGCAACTCTTTTTAATTATACCTACTTTCTATTTTTGTTCCATGGCGCCCACATGCATTGATATTTCCTATTTTGGAAAATCATTGATGGTGCCCTAAGTACATGGCGCCCCGGGCACATGCCCGAGTTGCCGGTACCTTGAGCCGGCCCTGTACATGTAGTAAATGTTATAAGCGTGTATGGGAAGACATTCTAGACTTAAACTGCTAGACGTGTTCATTGGTGTGTCGTGTTCATTGGTGTGTCGTGTTCATTGTTGTGGTTTCCTTCATTCAACAGATGTCATCGACGTCTCGGATGAAAGAGGGAATCTAAAAAATTTGAGCAACTTTCCAAAAGAATATGCCAAAGAATACTTGAAAGACAGGGAGCGTCTTGTGTTAGTGAGACGAGATTGTAAGTATAGCAGACAGACAGGGAACGCCTAGTGTTAGAATAGTGAGACGAGATTGTAAGTATAGCAGTGCAGACAGTGGCGTAGTTAGGGTTAGTGCCACCTGGGTCAATATTCTTTGAATCCCTCCCAAAGAAATAACTGCAGTTGGCAGAAATTGCTGCACAGCTGTAAATTAAAATAGTGCCGCACGGGGCGGACCCCCCCCCCCCCCCCCCCCCCCCCCCCCCCCCCCCCCCCCCCCCTTTTACGCCAGTGTTAGCAGACGTGCACTTAATTTTAAATTTAGATCTCGAAGATACAGCTGTAAGGTCCCACCTTGTGCAACAATAATATTTCACGGTAAAATTGACATGTTTATGTCAAATGACATCAATTTTATGTTAAAAGCGTACCTTAATAATTGAAGCCTCTCAGAAAATCATCCATTTTAGTATTGAATTCATAATAGTTCCATTTATTTTGATTGCCCTAGTTAACATCTTTAATTAATTATTATTCATTTTGTATCGATTCCTCATTTAATTAAGTTTTTATTTATTTTTAAAAAAAATTTGGCAAGGGGGTGGAGGGGAGGGTGCTCTACCTCATAATCCTATGATATACTATAAGGCAGTGGTCCCCAAATGGCCTTCACCAGTCCCCATAACATAAATATTTATTGTCAAATAGAAATAAAAGTATAAAAATAAATCATGCACCCGTCCCTGGTAAATTTTCGAAACTTGTTGACCGGTCCGCCAAACTTAAAAGTTTGGGAACCACTGATATAAGGCACCTTGGAAAGCTTAAAAATAAGAAATTCTTCGTATCATAATATACTGATTCTCTAACCTTCAAGTGCCGGTAGTTACATATGAAAATAATACATTTTAGTTTAAGTTAAATTTCTGAAATTCATTTTTGGTTACATATATTACAATATCTAATAAAAAATGAACACTTTTTTAACTCTAGATGACAAGTCCTCCTATTCAACACAGAATAACCTTTCTAGGCAGGGCATCTTCAAACCATTGTTACAAAGTCTAGCAGGGAATCAAGAATTTATAGGTAATTTTCATGTATGCAGTGCCAGGTACTCAACTTTGAAATAAAAGTATTTCTGTGTTTTAATTCTCATTGGTTAATATCTTTTGCTGGGGTGATAAATGCTACACAATTCAATGCATCTCATTTCACTCCACCGTTTCTAAATAAATATTTTTACAAGCAACTCTCTCTCTCTCTCTCTGATTTTGTATGATTCGGACATTGTCTAATGTTTAAAAAAAAACTAAATACAACTATGAATAGTATGAATTTAACATAATTATTTTAGTATAAATTGTCCCTCACTAACTTGTTGAATAACTTGGAGGTCCCAATGCTATTCACATACAAGTAGGTTAACCCTACTAAGGAAAAAAATAAAAATAAATGAAGTACTGCGTTCAAGCCGTGCGAGGGAAATAGAACAAGGTATGTGGAAGCTTGAAATATAAAGACAGGACAAGAAAAGGAGAACGAAATGTTTTTGAACTGTTTTCTATTTCTTGTTGTTTCTTCATATGCGCTATCTGCTGAAAAAAACTTTTGGGAAAAAAGAAGGGGCAGGGGATGCTAAATGACTGGCAGATTTCTTGCTACCACCCATCTCCTCCCTGTACTTGTACATCATACACCTTATTGTGCGAATTAGGGGCCATTCATATATTACTGGCGGGTTGTTTATTTCACACATGGTGGGGGTCTCTGCAGAAAGTTATAGATTTTTAGATTTAGTGGTGGGATGAGAGCTCATTGTACGTAGACATTAGAGAGGGGGTTGGGGGAGTGCCTAAAAACTTATGGGCGCAACTGGGAGGGTTTAAAATTGGACTTTTTTGCACAAATTACATAAGTATGGCCCCCTTATAGTTTAATTTTTAACAGTAAAGAATAATATTACTTTAAATAATGGAGCAGCGGTTGATTCCTTTCACATAATTTTATATTCCCGCAAAAAAAAGACATTTATTTTAGCCCAGACAGACCTTTAGTTTGAGTTATCAAGACATGACAACAACTAGTGAATTGCCCCTATTTGTATGTACCCATCAGATAAGCTCAACTCTCAAATAGATGAAAGCAGCTTGTCAGAGCTCTCTACCAAATCTCAGAGACCTTCAACATTCGATGTGGATGAATTCAGAGCTGTAAGATCCAGATCAAGAAGCAGTATGACTTCATCCAAGAAACCGCTCCCTAAGAGGGGTTCAAGGACATCAGGCCTGCGCAAGAGTGCCACCAACTCTTGACAACACAGTGGAATTATTATTAAAACAATGTCTTCTGTCAGTACTTTCATGCTGTAAATTTAAAAATGTAATGAGATGATATCATTAAATAAAGAACATGATTTTTACGTTTTTTTATGTTTATTCAAAATATGAAATGTCAAAGGGGGGCAATTTTATACAAAGAAATACAACTCTTCCAATTCAAACACTTGTACCCAAACATAGATGAAAGCTCTAATACAAATGATCCACCAGACCATGTTTATAATATAAGCAACTGTTATGAAAATATACACAATGATGATTACACTTACACTATTAGCACCTATCTAAGTAACAATTTCAGTCATGTGATTCAATTTTAATATTGCAATTTAAATGTATAACCTTTGCTCTAATTACCTTTAATAGCTTATTGCAACTAAAAACAAAATTTACACACAAAAATCATTAAAAGATCCTCGGACATAGGCTTTTTCTAAAGTTTGTGAACCAAAATAAAAAGCAAAAGCTTTTACCCTAATGCATTTTTTCAATCATAACTTTTACTTCATTAGAGCTAAGCACATTGATAACCTGTGATAAGAGAGGAAAATAAATGATCAAATCTATATCAATAACACCACTAATGTATGACAATATTTTTCCATGGCCTTAATTTCATTATAAATGTAAGATTTTAACTTTTATGTTGAAGTCTATGACACAGCTAATCAACATTCTTAAAATGGTGTCACGGATTTCTATCTTTCTCCTCTCCTTGGTTTAATGCTGGTCTGTCTACTTATCGCTGACTACGTTTCAAACCAGGGCTCGTCTGCACTGCGGTAGTAGCTAGACTCACATTGGGTCGCCTACGTCTTGTGACTTTTCCTTTACTATTTGAATCTGCAGCATCTGTATTTGCTATGAGAAGGGAAAATGATAAGCTATAAAACCTAAACAACTAAATAATCAGTAAAAGGTACCTTTAAAATCAGAATAACATATAGTATATATAAATGAATACCCCAATCAGCCTCTTTATCTGTATTTTCCTAACCACTAGTCACCAACATCTCTCTCTGTCCCCACCCCAAAAATAAATTTAAAAAAAAAAAAATTAACCCCCCCCCCCCAATTTATATATGGGGGTCATACATATTGACACCAGGTGTAGACTCGCAACACCCCCTTTTCTACTTAGGTACAAATGTATTGTACAAAGTTTTCATAGAGTGATTCATTGCTTTTGGGTGTGTATAGCAACATTTTTAAGGTTTACTTACCCTTTAATGATTTTGTGGGAGGTGGCATAGGAAAGTTTTTCTGCTTTGCTGGGCTGTGGCCCGCTGGCAAAGATTTGTCTTGTGTCTTCTTTGATGATTTATTTGAAGGTGGTGTACTGGAGATTCTCTTAGTTTTAGCGATGACCTTTGATGCTTTTTTTGCTCTTGGAGATTTCACCTTCACTTGATTTGTTGATGAAATTAGTTTTGCCTTTGGTGCTCTCTTTGATGCAGCTGGAGACTTTTTTGCTAAAGGTGTCTTGGGACCCTTTGGCACACTGGGTGATTTTATTTTCTTTGCTTTAGGAGATCCACTTTCTGCACTCTTCCGTTTAGTTCCCCGCTGCCAAAAAAAATTTTTTTTTTTTGTTTAAACTAAATTTTCACAATTAACTTTTGCACCATTTGACTGTTACAATGAAATATGACAGCTTTGGAGTAGAATGTTTGTTAATATAAATGTTACTATAGGTAACCATTCACTACTTTGAAAAAAATTCAATTACTGCTGTTAAAACTATCATAATTTAATAATGGAAGATCTATCTTTGTTAATTACCAGCTAACTCCTTAACCTTATTGACTAACAAAATGTTAATAAAAATAAATAAAAATACTCCAAAATGAATACAAATAGCTCAATTTAAAAGGATCAATGACGTCATTTAAACCTCGCATCATGTCAATAAAAACCTCGCATGATGTCATTTAAAACCTCGCATGATGTCATTTAAGTCCTCGCATGATGTCATATAAAACCTCGCATGATGAAAAAAAATTAAATAAAAAAAAAAAAAAATACTCCAAAAAAAAAAAAAAAAGCAAAATTTAAAAGGAAAAAGGTCTACATAAAAAAAAACAATTTTAAAAAAAAAAAAAAAAAAAAAAAAAAACAACAACCCTTTAATTAAATGTTGAAAAGAAAGACTATAACAGAGTAACATTAAAGAGAAAAAATTAAAGGGTTTGAAAATTTATCTTATCAACATTAGGAAAACGTTACTGTTAAAATCCAACAACTTCTATTTAAAATAATAGTTAAAATGGCGGACAAAATAAAGAAAAAATAATAATTAAACTTTTAACATTTAATAGTTAAGTCAAGACTTGGTTTCATTAGACGTTTTATTTTTGCCTTCCTATGATGATGACACACTACAACAGAAACAGCAAAGAAAGCATGAATATGACAGAAAGATTAAAATCATCTCTTCAAAATCATTTCCTTCTTGTAAGAAAGCAATGTGTGTCTGGTCTCAATGCTCAAAGCTTCAGATGTTAAACTTATTTGGTGAGTAGGTTTTGATAGAATTTTTGAGATAAATTATCAGTAAATTGCACAAGTTTATTTATGAGGTAAAAATGGATAGCCATGTAAATGACACCCTAAATAAATTTAAAGTACAAATATTGCTTCTAGTTTTCAGGTGACTTGGAAAAAGTTGCACACAACATAACCTGTGAATTATTTTATTCAGGTAAAGAAATCAATTGGAAGGAAAAGTTATTTTCATGGGTTATTTTGGGGTTATTCTAAATAATATATTTAACATTAAGCAAAATTAAAGCAAGCCAAAACTCGCCCCCTTTGTAAGTCTAAGTGTTATTTCAATAAAACCGTCATAAAAGCAGCTTCTGTTTAAAGGTTAAAGCTATCTTTAATGATTTAAACTTTGGTTTCATCTCTGTTCCAACTGTCAATTTTGGTCCTTGATCAACTTATTCACAGGAGTTTCTGATTGCCGATGTATAGTTATCCAAATTGTAATAGCAATGAAACAGAAAGCAAATATTTTTGTAAAAATTGAAAAGTAATCGTTGGGGAGACTAGAAAGTCCCTCCAGGTCCTGATTAAAAATACTTCGAGCCACAAAATTTTGCTCTGCCAATTCTCTAGCTGCCTCCATGCTCATTGTGCTAACTTCATTGCAACTTTCCATATTGCTTGAAAAATTGTCATACTGAATGCGAATTTGTTTGACTTCAGGGGTCATATTTCGGCCTACCTTAGTCGCCCTGTCAGAGAAATCAATAATCCATTCATCTGCCTGTCCACCTTTTGTCAAACAGTATTTGAGTATGTCTTTAAAGCGGGTGTAGTTTGGTTTAGTTTCATAACCCAGTTCAGTCACAGCTATAAAGTATTTTCTCATACAGTCTGGAAATGGAGAAAAATACAAATCAGGGCATTAAAACTGCACAATGATCATTTATATTTATAATATTTCTAAAAAGGACTTACTATAAAAAAAAACAAACACATTTAATCAGCCATTTTCAACTTGGCTGTGTCAAGAAAAGTTTAGAGGTGTTGATTTTAAGTAAGAACAAAAAGAAATGCAACATGTTTTTTTCCCCACATAAATAATTTGTGTAAACAAAACAGTCTGGTAAGCTTACATTATGTGTCGACAAAATACAAACTTACGTTTGGGCTAATGCCTTCATCACAATAAGAAAACAAATTAGATAAATGCAAATTTCAATTTTACATAGACTATTTATATCTTACCTATTAAGAGAGTGAAAGAGAGGAAAAAGGTTAGGCACACGTCCCTCATAAAGATCAGAAGAACAGAAAGAATATAATACCAAACAGGAAAGGATATTGTAAAATTTTGTAAATTTTACAAAATATTCTTATTAGCCCTTCCCTTTTCTTGGTAATTAAAAAAAACAAACAAAATTCCCTTATTTTAATTATACAAACAATTGAGACAAGTACCCGTAGAAACATATTTTATCAATAAATTTGTTTCTTTTTCATTTTTACCTATGCTAAGAATGTCTGTGCTTGGAATGGTTGCATTTATCAGAGAGGGTATGTCCTTCATATACCTAGGAGAATAAAAAAAATAATCTCACAATTATTTTTACTCTAAAATTAATATTTTCAACAGACATAAAATAATGGTAAAATGCCACTACTTACTTTTCTTTACTGTTAGCAACATAACTGGGACTCCTCAAATTGTCTTCCCATGGCAATGTGCCACCCAACCACTGCAGCATGCAGTAACCCAATATTTCCAAATCCCCTCGCCGTGAAGGAGCTGGGAGATTAAAAAAATGTAATTTTTAAAAAAAGGGTATGATTAAAATAAGAAGTGCACATATTACAGTCCCAAAGTTAAAAGTATGATTGAAACGGTTTTAACCTCTTATCCTAAGATTCCTGGGTAGATTTTGCATGTTGATTCTAGACTTTAAAACTATGAGGAACCACTGGCCCATATGCTAAACCGTTAACTACTTTCTTTGAAACTTACAAATTAATTAAACAAAAAATATCGAACATCTTCGCTGATTTGTATATTTACCACATAAAATGCATTTTAGTAAGGGGAGAAATACAAAATAAAAATGCACTTAAGTAACACAGACTACAATTATAGTGATAAATAATAATAAAATTAAATCAGGATACTGTACACTAACATTAAGCCAGCTGTGTGAAAATGAACACACACACTTTGTTGTTTGGCAGTTACACAATGAATGAGATTTTTTTTATTTATACCAACCTGCGACCTGCATGTAGTTATAAATGCGGCCAAACAAAAGATTCATAACTTTCAAAGTTAACCAAAAATACCCTTAACCTGTATAGGTCATAAGTCTTACTGTATAAGACCAAGTGATTTTCCAGTTGTGCCTCACTGCTTAACCCTGTATTAGACTTGTTAAAAGAAGTTCCTATAAAGTTAATACGTGGTTATTCATTTTATGCACTAAAATATTATGGGTAGTAAGCAATGGATGGAATGCACTGAAGATTTTATTTGGCTTGATAAAAAAGGGGATTTTTCTAAAATTAGTTTGCCACACTAGTCTTATAGCCGGGCGAATAGATGAAATAGGAAATTCTATCTAAAAAGGTCAGGAGAGCTGTTTATTTAAAATTTTGTTCTTTGCCAATTTTCATTTAAGGTATTGATGACAAATAATACCACAGAAAGAATGGCTTCTTTATTGCCAATACAGGACAACTAAATAGAGCTTATTATGGGGGACATCATTTACTTTCTAAAAGTAAGATAGCTAAGTCAAGGTAAAATGTTGAAAAGATTTTATGACTCATGGAAATGAACTTTTTTGTTGTTTTCAAATCAAATTTGTGCGAGAACTTAAGTGTGAAAATTGGCTCATAGATTTAACATTTATATTAGGCTTGGCCGCTCATTTAAATGAGTTAAGCACCTTCAAGGTGAAAACAAACTGATCAAACGATAACAGCGTTCAAAATGAAATAATGGCTATCTCAAATTGAGGCAAACAAAAATTATGCACTTGGACAGGTTGGCTAAACATGGACCGATGAAAAAAAACAAACTATGCAGGCTTTCTTTTCGATTTGTTACAGGAATTTGAAAACAGGTTTCAAGATTTCCAAAAATATAAAATCTTTAGGTATAATAGCAACTTCATTTTCAGTTGACACAAACATATTAACTGCAAATTTTCAAATGGAATGAATAGAGCTACATCAGATATATCTTCCTAGAGAAAAATATCCATCATTTCACAATCATGCCTTATTCATGTCATCACTATTTGAAAACACCTGCATTTGTGGGCAGCTATTTTCAAGGATGAAGCACAAGAAGAATAAAACTAGAACCAAAATATCCGATGAGGATCTTGATAACTCACTGAGAATAGCAACTACTGCTACCGCACCAAAAATCAAAGCATTAGCAGACCTGTTTACCCTCGTACTCATAAAATTGAACAATATCGTCTCAAAAATTGTATAATTCGGTATATTATTAGTAAATAAATAAACATACCGTGTATATAATGTACACATTACTCGCATCTCATGTCTAATGGGAGTTAAGCTGGCCTCAAAAAAGATAACTGAACGGTAAAAAGTAGATGACTGACATTAGTTGCAAACTGCGGTCACTTTGTTTTGCAGACATGTATCTGCTATAGATATCAATTAATATTTGGGTGAAGGGTCAGCCGTAATAAATAATTGTCACAAAATGACGTCATACAGCATCGACACAAACAAACATGATGAGATGCAATCTATATTGTTTGTAAGCGCAAAAGAGTCAAATTTTTCAATATTCCCCCCGCCTCCCGTTGCATGCTTACGTTTTCGACCCCCCACCTCTTTCCCCTATAGCCTATGTAAAAGACGAGTCAAAATCCTATATTGTACGCCAAAATTGTAAGAGTAAACAGGTCTGGATTTATATACTAACGAAGTAAACAAAACTAAGTACCGAAAACAAAAAGGATCGCCGATTCCATTTATGGTAACAATAAAATCAGGCAATGCGCACATCTGTCAATGTAGCGAAATTCGAACGACAGAGCTGTTTGGACAATGGGACATCAAATATAACATACCCAATACGCAAAATAAAAAGGTTAAAAAATATTCATACGCCCTCCCCAATGCGCACCTTGTCAACGTAAAGGGCTATCCAAACAGTATGTACGCGCTGAGGATGTGTACGACAGCATATAAGCATAAATTCTACAATAATTATCCTGACAGTCTCAGAGCCAACTGTCACCTGAAAATCTGTGAAATTCATGAACTCTGATTAGGCCTATTATTATTATTAAGGCTATAAAAATATCCCCACAATGTTTCGCAGTTATCGTATACTCATACTAATGCTTTGTTTTCATAAGGAGATCACCGTAGTAATATTATTTAACATGCCATAGTAACAACACACTGTAGGCTAGTAATGTATCTTTCTGTGTGGGTGATGTAATTATTTTGCTCGACAGAATCAACCTTCCCCCACTCTCATTAATTGGAAAAAAAATTGTGCCGTCCCCTATCCAATAGGCGCCTGATTATTTCTTCTGTTAACATCTTATAGTCTAATAACTACCACAAGCTGTAGAAACAAAAGTGAGTGTGTGGGGTGGGTTGGGGGATGTAAGTAGGAGTAGTGATACCAAACTGTTGTATTAAAATAGGGGATAGAGCTGCTTTGCGAGTTCTACAAATATTTTTTAAATGCTTTTGACTAGATCTTATAAAATAAAATCCACTGTTCTATTTAAAAAAAAAAAAATCTCTAGTTTGCTCCGTTTTCACAATCACCGCGGTTCAGATGAACAAAATAATTATATAACAAAGCTACGCCATACGCTTGGTAGCAGTCAAAGGGGATGGTGAGTGAAGCTGGCGACTAGTCTAAATATTACTGTTGACCCAGCTAGTTAGTTCACTGTGACATAAAGCAACAATATGACGATCATCACCATCAATAGGATACGTTGCTGTGATATTTTTATACCCTTTGACATTCCCACCAATCCCCCACCCATGCGCCTTGTATGCCACAAATCTCCTTAATCAACAACCCCCACCTCTCCTCTCAGAGTGTGCATAATAAAATGAAGGATGATCCCAACTTAAAAAAATAATTACAACCAATCGTTTTTCTCTGTCCATTCACTGCCAGATTTTTATAAGACACTTCAATAACCGAAAGAAAACAAAAAATTAATTGTAAAAAAATTACCCAAATATTTTTTTAAAACCGGTCTCTGAAAATCGTAGTTTTACAATCGTAAAAGAAATCTAAAAATCGCCAAAATCGTAAGAGTAAACAGGTCTGCATTAGTGAATTTGTGTCTCTAAAACAATGTTAAATATCTCACGTTGTCGTGTTGTCTTTTACATTTATAGTTTTAAATATGCTAATATTATTAGTAATAATATATTATCTGGTTTTTTTTGCTTATCACTTATTGTTAGTTTTAGTGCATTTTATGTATGGGCCGAAACAATACCTTCATCTAATGTAGCCCAAGTAAGCTAAAAGGTTGAACACCCCTGGATGATACTGATCTATTGATAATTTGAAAAGGTTTTTCCCAATAAAATAGAAAATATTGTGCATATTAAAAAATGGTAACTCTGGCTTGCACACTTAAAAAAGGTTACCTGCTCTATACTTTTTGGGACAACGAATGCATTGTCTGCTAGCCAGCTGTCAGTAGCTTGTTTTTGCCATCTGCACTTTGATATTCCATTGTCCCAAATCAGAGGCCAGAAGTTCCAAGGTGCTTGCTTCTAGGCCGGCTGATGCATGAGCTAATGATAGCAATTCTTTACGTGCGTGCCTCTTTAACCCTTGTTTAACCCTTGTTTAACCCATATTTATATATGTTTATCATGAATTTGAATAAATATATATCATAAATAAATATTTCATCCACTTACACACTCCTTTGTGAGCATCGACGCTTGTAAATTCAATTGTGCCATCATGAGCTTTTCTAGGATCTTCTTTATATTCTTTGTGCTTTCCTTCTACTTTATACCTATAGGCAAGACCAAAGTCAACAAGGTATACCTGGGAAAAAGATTCAAAACTGAAAAGTTATGTTTTTCTCATTAAATTTTTTTTTTATATTGAATATGTGTATTGTAAGTTGAGATTATTTATCTTCTTTTTACAATACTGGAGGCTAACAAATTAACTCATTGCAAAAAATGAAACTGACGATTTCATGCTACTGTCACATAAATAGGTGCTAAAGAACAGAGGCAATTTTAATTAAGGACATTTGCCCATTATAGATAAAATAATTAAATAAAAGTAAAGCTGCAATTTATCTTTAAAAACGATCCCTAAAAAAACATATCACAGGTTGCTCACATGGTTTCTAACCCCACCCCAGGAAAATAACATCCCACCAGTTGAATTAAAAACCTACAGTAATTAAGTGATCAATGAATATTGTCTAAAGTAAAGGGAAACACATAAATATATTATTTCCCTTGTTTGAGAAAAAAAATAAATATGTAATACCCCTGTAAGGCATCTGGCATCTTTTGTTGTTATGCTTTATAAATGTCCTTACCTCACTTTGTATGTCTTGGCCACCACCATAACCTAGAAGGATATTTGCTGCTTTGACATCCGCATGCACATATTCATTTTCATGTAGGAAATAAAGGGCATCTAACTGTAAAAAAAGTAAAGCATGAAATTATTTGAAAACTACCTTATTGTAAACTTTATTAAAGAGGTAACAGTCTCAGCTTGGTTTTTAAGAAAAAAAGAATGGTGCATGAGGTTTGCTTTAAACACAGATAATTAAAATACACTCACCAAAATGAGTTTTAAAAATTAATTTTTGTTAACAGCAACTGGATGATTTGCTTATTTAATTTTAAAAATACAAATATTTACCATACGTAGGCCTACTGCAAAAGTAGCATTTGGAGCAAATCTTCCACCACATTGCACAAGAATCTTCTGCAAATCTGTACCATAACGATTCATTACCAAAAACCTATATTCTCTTGAAAAATTTTCAAAACTGCCTGTTGCTATAAATGGAGGAACACCAAGATACCTCAGTTTCTGCTCCGCAATGAAAGACTGGACTGGGGATGGAAAAAATATGAATAAATAATGTCAAAGACTCAAGAGGATAATTAGGGTTGTGGTAAGTTGAAATAATATTTTTATAAAAAGTTATAAAAATAATTTAAGGATCAATACTTACTGACAGCTGGCTTAGCTGCTCTTTGATAAAATTGCATTTCACAAAACAGTGGCCCATTGCTTTTGGCTTCCTGAAAACAAAATTTGGGGAAAAGGTTAAAGAAGGAAGCTGAGGTTATGCAGGAAAAAAAATTCATTTGATTTTTAAATAAGTGCAATAAGATCCAAGTCAATAAAGGAATACTTTTTAAATTAGTGTCAAGTAAATAACATCATCATCAGTGGCGCTACAACTCAAGTAGGGATTGCTCCAGGACACATTCCATTCGGATAATCCATGGCTTTCCGCATCCATGTGCAGACCCCAGGTGGTGTAAGTCTTTCTCTACATCATCAGTTCATCTCAGACTTGGTCAACCGGTGAGCCATCTGCCTAGGTTTTTGCCTGTAGATCACTTCTGCTGATCCTCTCAAAGTATCTTGTCCAGCGCAGTCTGCCTATTTTTAATGGTTGCGACTGTGGTTGGGTCTTCCTACAATTGATATATCTCTTGATTTGTGCAGATTCTCCAGGTCATCCTTGCTTATTACCGGACCGTATATTTTCCTGAAGATTTTCCTCTCCCATGTGTTGAGCAAGTTCTGCTTTTCTGGTAAGGGACCAAGTCTCATTTGTGTAAATTACAACTGGTCTCATAATAGTAGTCCTAATTCCTTGAGAAGTTTTGCTTCCCAATAGCTTTTGTAGGCCGTGTAAATAATATGATTAGCATTAACTACTGAAACATTAACCTCTTGCACAAAAAGAATATTTAAGAAAAATAAATTGCAAATATCAGTACTAAAAAACCCCCCCCCAAAAAATAGGTTATTTCTTTTCATTATAATGTACATAGTGAAAATCTTAATTTTGAGTTTCTAGTTTTGTAAATATTATTATGCGAGTTTATAGATGATACAAGACAGGATAATAATTAATAAGAATGAACAATGCTGCATGAATAATTTTTCATATAATCTGTCTCATACATCAGTTTACAATTTCAAAATATGTCATATTCAAAGGATAATTATCTTGATACTTACTATTTTGATGACAAACTCAGCTGTTTTGAGGTCTACTGGTTTGGAAGAATCCTTCGAAGCTAATCAAATACAGTGAAAGAAAATATATCAAGTTAAATGTGGTCAATAGTTTAGTTACAATGAATGTCAAATTTATAATTATCAATTGAAAGGTGGTGTACTTAATCTCATTACAGATGGGGAAAAAACCCAACAAACAACAGTTCTTACAACCTTTGCTATTATATATTGAAACAAGTGTTATTTTTGTATGCAACAAAACAAACTAAGAAAAATATCTAGATGCAGGTATGACTTCCATAAGAACTAACAAATTATTCCATACCGGTACAAAGCAAAAGTGTTAACAAAATTAATAAACAGTAAGATTTACCTTTTGAAGAAAGTTACAAAGATAAAATTTATTAAATTATCACTCATCATATTAAAAAAAGTGTATATTTCAATGAAACAAAAATCACCAATAAATGATTTTCAATAATATGGACATTTTATGCTTGAAAAACCTTATCACTAATCCGCACAGAAGTAAACACCTTTAATATTAACATATATAAGTGGGATTAATTTAAATAAAAGAATTTGGTGGGGAGGGGGGATCAAATTATATTTAAAAATTAACCTCAACATATATACTCGTTCTTAAGCCAACCCCCTTACCTTTGTCCAGGAAAAGTCTGAAAAGTGTGTAAACCCCTAATAAGCCGAACCTATAAAATAATTTGCCAATAGAAGCCATATGGTACTACAGAACATAATTTATTTTTAAATAAAAGGACTTAAAAACTAATACAAATAAATTATTATGTGTAACACAGATTCTCGCGTGTCCACTGGTATCTACAGTAACCATAATGAATATTTTCAAAAAAAGGGACATCGTTGATGTACAATAACAATTTCATATTAGATGTAGGTAGCCAATCACGCCAGTCAAAGAATGGGGACAAAATGTGTGATCCAATTTTGTACATAGGTTTTTGTTGACTTCTGATAATGACTTTGTTTTCATTGTTTTATATAAAAGAATAAATGTACAAAGAAAATTATAAAAATCTCCTATGACTTTCTCGTTTGACGACCACACCAAATATATAAAAAATATATAATATAAGGTAATAAAAATTTCATTTATGCAGTTTGTTACGGTTATGGATGAATTTTGCAAGTCTTACTTATAAACAGCTTGAGCTGAACATACGATATAAAGATAATTTATAAATCAAGCAGTCAAATGCCAATATTTTCAAATATGTAAATATATACATATGCCCTAACTTACAACAACAGAATGCAACAATACTCACTGCAACTGATAGAAGAAAGAATGAATGTTTTGAATTTTAAAAAGAACAAACAATAATTAGAATTGTTACCTGAAAAAACCAGTAAGATAAAGAAGAAGAAATAAAAAAAAGTATTATTGACACGACTGTAAAGAAAGATACATCGCTGGGCCCTAGCTCCACCAACTTCATGACCACGTACAGTGGAAGGATCATACCTGCATCAAAGACACAGCAGTGTCAATGGCATAAAACTCAGTCACGCCATGTTGACAAAAGCTTTACTAAAGTGGCACAGTATTTAATTATTGTAATTGTATTATTTATACTGGTTACTAATCCAAATAAAATTGTGTGATGTCAGGGGTAGACAAAACTGTAATAAATTCAGGAGCATGTCTATTGTTATCAGAAGCTAATATAATTTTGGGTGGCAAATGGTCCAAAACAGGAAAATTTAGGTGTCATGGCAACAGGGTCCACCCTTGTTTATGTACCCCTGCAAGGTGCCTATCAAATGTAATTCCATATATTATTATATCTCATTAGCTTTTCAACTTTATGACATTTAAATATAAGCATACAATTTTAATGATAGCTTACATACCTAGGTAAATGAGACCAAATCCACCTTTCCCTATAACTGTTCCTAATTGCCATTCATTTTTGTACAAGTCTACCAACTTTGTACCAGATGGTATCACTTCTGGAAGCTTATGGGCATTAGGGCCCTTTTTAGGGCCTGAAATGGAGACAAATTTATACACTTAATAACATACCTGTATGTAATAAAAAAAAAATAGATGAATTTTACTATAAAATTATCTTTTGTGCAATAAAATGTTAATTTTAATTAATATTTTTCTTACCAGAAGCAGGACGAGGCATTTACAACCGTTCAACAGTCTGCTCTACAGCACTGCTGTTACTTTAAATAACCTGTACAAAATACACAAAGCCATCATAACTAAACATTATAACCCTTGATTTATGAACAAAATACATTTTTTTTGTCAAATTAACAGGCCATGCCTTTCCTTACCATTGTACATTTAAGTGCTACTTTCATATATTATAAATTTGCTTTATTTACATTCCTCTTACATAATATTAATACAGTTGAACCCGCTTATCTTGACCTCAGTTAACTTGCCAACCCTGTTATGTCAACATTTTTGAAGTGGAACCACCAAATTCTCTCTTTGTCTTAGCATTTTCTTCTCGGTTATGTTGATTCTTTTAAGTCGTCGAACTCTGATATCTCGAGCACAAAAGGAGGTTAAATATGACACTTAACCTCAGTTATCTTGATCCCCATGACCAATCGCCGGCTTTTGAACTCCGCAAGAAGAAATAGCAAACAACAAATAAACAAGTTTTTCTTAATTAAAAATAATTATTTCTCAAAATACAGGACTTGTGTTTTAGAATGAACCAAGAAGTAATTTCAATAAATATGTTTTATTCGAGGTTTAAAAACCAGGTAGAGTCCATATTATAAATGATCATAATTTTCAGTGTGCAAAACGTTGTCATGGGCAGCAATTCACTATCACTTGCATAATGGCTATGGCGTGGTACTACGTCAGAGTTCCATTCATCAGTTTGCTGTGTGCAAAAGCTATTAAAACATTGGTCAGGGAAAGCTTTAATTAAATAGTCATGTACCAAAGTTGAAAGTTAAAAATAAGTAGTCTCTAAATAGTATTGTAGCAATAAGGGGATGCAGTGCCTTATATAAACTATATGGTCATTGCCCATGAAAACGATCAGCAGAATGAGGTCACAAAATGTGGAGGCTTCGTCCATAGTAGAAAATACCAAATTAACTCGCACTTTAAAAATTCGTAGCGCAAAAAGTAAAGGTTAAAAAGATGATTCTGGTTTCATTTTTTAAAAATTTGCTCTAAATAACTGTAATATTTAAAAAATTATAAATTATTTTTTTTTACTGGAGTATCTGCATTTATTAACGCACATCATGTACATAAAGAGATTTCAAGCACATGTTAATATATTGCCGCCATATTGGTTTTCATTTATCTCGATCATTGGTTATTTCGGCACTTTTTGGCAAACCCTGAAGCCGTCGACATAACCGGGTTCTACTGTAGATGTATTCTCTGTCAAAACATTAGAAATAATTTGTGTGATTTTTTTAGCATGACTATATAAGGTTGATATCAAACTTCATAAATAAAAAATTAACAGAAATGACTATTGCATCATTGGGAGAATGTCAATAAAAGTTAAAGAAAAATAAAAAGCGCTTCCTGACCATTGTGAACTTAATCTCTTACAAATATTTTCCTTCTGGTTTATCCTGCTTCTCTCCCCCCACCCCCTATTTTAATACTACTGGGTGAAAAAAAAGGCACGCAGTGAGCTTCAAGCATGATGACCCAACTGGGGTAAATAGTTGGTTTTTTTTCTTTAGCGGGAGACAACTATTATTCGATGTTGTCATTGTTCGCATTCCTCTGCCTCACAGAGAGCTTCATGCGTACAGAGTCTTCTCTATTCCGGGATCCGGCAACTGCCTGTTCCTATCAGTGTGTCATTTTTTGACACAAACAGTGAGTTGACGAAGGCAAAGCACTTTCACTACGATATAGGACAGTAGATTTGATTGCAGATAATAGAAAATCCATCCTTTTTGTAAAACTTGGACCCCCCCAGGTATGTTCTCAAAATACCCAGGCCTGGAGAAAAAAACCTGCAATATTTGAGTTTGGCTTTATGGCGCTATCACTTATGGAAGTTGCAGTTTACCTATTATGTGGTAAGCCTTGTCACACAGTTAAGTCTATAAGACATAGGCTGATCAACCAAAATTGAACAATCACTAATTGTTATTGCACGTAGTAAATTTAAGTGTGACCATTATGTTCAAAACTTTAATCCAGGACATTTAATATTGTTTTGGTGCCATGGATGTCTAAAATTAAGAAGTATTTATGGTTACACAGAAAAATCTTCTATCAGTGAGGGGTTCTTTTGAAAAAAAAAAAGGAGCTAATTTGGATGAAACTCTGCCATGGTATGTCCCAAGCCCGGGTGCAAACAGAAGTAGGGTTGGTGTGAGGCGAGCCACCTACCCGTAAAACACAAACTGTTACAGAAATGTCAACATGAAGAGAACAAAATAATAATTTCTGCCCTGATAAGAGATGGCTTTCTTCTCCAAGAGGAGTTATGAAGTCTTGTGGCCAAAGCCAGATTATTCTGGAGGCCTCAAAGCCGTGGACCCTCTTTTCAAAGCCAATAAGGATTGGATCGTTGAATTTTTGAACCATGTATGAAACAGGAAAATCAGCACAAGTGGCAGAAATGAGAACATACAAGCTCACAATGCTCTGCATTTGTGAAATAAGATGGACACAAGCTGGACAGTTAACATTGACCTCAGGGCATGAGGAGAAAAATGATCCAGATACACAAGGAGTCGCTTTCATGATGACACAAGGGGCATTGATAGGATGGGAAGCCTATGGGCCAAGAATTATTCCAGCAACTTTCCGAACCAAGAAGAAAAAAATAAATATAAATGTAATGCAGTGCTATGCACAATAGTAAGGAAGATGAAAAAGTAGATTTCTACAATAGACTACAAGCCATACTAGAAAAATTTTCAGGTAGAGATCAAAATATCATAATGGGAGATCTAAAGACTCAGATTGGGAAAATAAAACAAAAAGAGGATAGCAGAGAGAAATTACAACAACGAAAGACTTGCAGACTTTTCGCATGAAATGAACATTAATGGGGGCAGTGAATTTCAGCATAAGAATATCCCCAAGGTAACTTGGGTGTCCACTAATAACAAAATAGAAAACCAAATTGATCATGTATGCATTATCAAAAAATTCAGAAGGTCTCTACAAGATGATAGAGCTAAAAGAGAAGCTGATGTTACATAACTAACACTGAAAAAAAACAACTAGAAAGAGCCAGCTGATGACTAAAATACAACATAGCACTTCTGACAAATGAGCAAAAACCACAGGATGTTAGTGTTACCCCTTGAGAAATAAATTCCAGGCATTGCACTAAACAGATGAAGACCAGATAGCACTTCAACGGCAAGACATAAAGATGCCCATAAAATCCAAGTGCAATGAGGTATAAGACTGGTGAAGCACATACACAAAGATTAACTCTCACTCAACATATTGCAAAAAATAAACAGGAGGAAAGAAATGAAGTGTGCAGTAAACACCAGCCGCACTGGGGCAGGTAAAACATAAGCACAGGAGAAATATTAGGAAGCCAATGGAAGGGTAAAGAACAGAATTAAAATGATAAAAGAGCTTACATAGATGGTCTAGCATCAACAGCAGAAGAAGAAGCCAGAAAGGGGAACATGCAAGAGCTCCATGATATAAAAATAGAGCTCTCAGGAAGATAAAAGAAGCCAGAGAGACTGGTTAAAGACAAGGAAAGTAGATCAATAATGATACGAAAAGAATAAGAACAAAGATGGGTGGAAAACTTTGATGATTTACTAAACAGAATTTCACCCACACACTCCAGATAAGCAAATGAAGATTTCCAAATAGAAGACAATGTCACAAATAAGGAAGAAATCGCCCTAGCTATCAAGCAGCTTAAAACTGGGAAAGCACCCAGACAATATCACAACAGAGATGACAGATGATACGAGCAAATATCAATAGTCAACATGCTCCAACTCTATTTGAAAAGATATGGAAAGAAGGATACCTCATCAAGGATACCAAAGAAAGGCAACTGTACAAACTACTACATAGAAAGTAAATTACACTACTATCAGTACAAGGACAGCTCTTTAACAGAATTATTCTGAATTGAATGAAGGACCAGGTCGACATGCAGCTAGAAGATCAACAGGTTGGCTTCTGCCGAAACAGATCAAACAAAGAACAAATTGCAACACTGCCCATCATTGTAGAACAGTGAACAGTCAATAACACCCCCCACTCAGATGTTTCTATACACATTTTCAAACTAGATAATTTTTTTTTTAATGATTGAAACGTTGGAAAACAAATTGGCCTTAATACTTTGTCTTGTTCCTCCAAATGCCTAATTATAATTTAAATTAGTAAAAGAAATTAAACTAAGACATGATAATGATCAGGGATGATAGTGAGCATTTATTTTATCAAAGGAAACCAAAGCCAAAGCCAACAAAGTATCATCTGGTGAATGGCCCTCTGAATCAACTGAATGGGGCTTAATTTACGTCACTAACTAACGCACATATTCTGGTGAAGGTCTGAGATTACTCTCTTATGACCCCGGCTAGTAAATTGGCTATCAACTCCATCTGTTGAGCTGAGCCATACAACATTTCCCTCACAAAGGATCCTCCAACCGCCCTGGCTTCCCCCGGGAGATCTAGTGCGGGACATTCAGTCAACAGATGTTCTAAGGTCTCTGGGGCCAGGCTGCAATGCCGGCAGGTAGGATCTCTGTTGTTATCCAACCTCCAGAAATATGTGCGCAAGGGGCAGTGCTCGGTGCGCATCTGCGTCACTAGACTCTGCGATCTGCGACCTAACCCCCACCATGGGTCTTGTTTGCTAGGAGTAGGCAAGTTCGAATAGACGCCTCTGGCGGTCGTGTTGTCAGCCCATTGCCTGTACCACTTCTGCCTGAAGTGGTCCGCCAACCAGTTTTTGACTCCCAAGAAAGTCATTGGTACTTCTGGCTGAGGCTGGGCAGCCCCGGTTTTCGCCAGAGTGTCAGCTATCTCATTGCCACTGATGTTGACGTGCCCTGGTATCCATTGTATTTACGTCACTAAATTAGGGATTACTATAAAATGGGTAATAAGGGGAGAGACTACTATAAAATGCTAATACTATTAATAGGCCTTACTTTAACATGTGCCTAATTTTAATAGCTCGTCATTTTCATAAACATTTATGATTTGTATTTTAATATTAAATTTAGTCATGAATTTATGCATTATCATTATATTTATTATATTGGCATTGTTGATGATTGGTTGGGCCAAGGCCGGCTAGGCCTCGCCTTAATTGACATCAAATTATTAATAACTTGGTGTAAACTGTCGTAGCTGGTGAATGCTATAACATCCAAATTAACCAATACTTTTTAATTGTAATTTAAACTGTAATATACAAAAATAGTAAACGCATTAAAACCAAGTTACCAACCCAATGCTGAGAACGCAGGGTGTTGAAGGAAGTGGACGGTTTGTTTGGGTTGAAATGGCCGCCAATTGTATGGCAAACAGAGGGGATATCATTGGTTGTTCTAAATATAGCAACCACTATATTTTTCGGTAAGACATAGAGCCGGAAGTCATTTGACGCAAGCGTAAATGGCAGTCATCCATAAGAGTTAATTGTATGGTGTGAATTTGTTTATTAGTTTTAATTAGTTTTACGTTTCGCAATTGATCAATCACTATTTACCCATGGCATAAAATGCACATATGATGGCAGAAATTATGAATGAAACTGTTGGTAAAGACCCACTCCAGGATGTTTTTATAGCTAAGACTTTATCTCAAAGAATAACAGCTGATGACAGCGGTGTTAGTGGTAGAATTGTAAACAATACCAATGGAGATGAAACGAACATCAACAAGCGTTTTCAAAATTCGAAGAATTTAGACAATAATCATGGATTTGATAACGGTGTCATAACCCAGTCTCCTGTTTGGGACGAGTCAAAAGGAGATCGTGTACACATTCTTACTCCAGATACAGTAATCTGGAATAATTCATGCGAAGATTCAGGACTCAGTCTCACCGATCACTTTCCGTTCAATGACTCAGAACCAAATATTGACAGTGTGAATGGGGTTGTTAGAACTGAAAATACACAAGATGAACGTGCATCTTCAACTACCAATGTCAGCCCAAAAGCAGCTCTTCGAAGTGAAGGACAGTTAAATAAAAAAGAAAAAAAAGGGATTAGCTTTCCAAAGGATACTTTCATTTCAGGGTACTTTGAACCCCCTGACCCTTGGAAGAATGGTAGGACAATATGAATAGCTAATTTTCTTTCTTAAATGCAATGACATAACATTTAAAATAGAGGCCTATCACCAATGCACTCTTTACCAAACATTTGAAATCCAAGTGAAATTAACTTTAATTAGGTCTGTGTATATTATTATGGCAAGTCTTGTACACCTTGCATCAATTCTTTATCAAATTTAGGATATGCTTTTTAAAGTTGTTTTGTATCATCCCAGAAATACACTCTAATAGCTAAGATACTGCCCTTCTCAGAACCTGTAAATTCCCCAAAGTCTACCTTTTTATACACTTCTGAGATTCTTCAAAAACTGTACATCATAAAATGAAAAAAAAGAGAACCTATTTAAACAAAAATTGAAGTGACTGGGTTGGGTGAGTTGAGCCCTGGGAAAATTGGAATTTCTGAGGGCAGGGAGCTCATCGTGTTATTTTGGCAATGCCCATAAGCAATAATTTGACACTTCCTACTTTCAGCCTTTTGGCAGACAACACACATACCATTATCATCAGATAACACACCATTGTCACCAGATTACCACTTAATCTAATAAATTATCCAAATATCTAAAATAATTCTATAATTGTGGTGTGCAATTTATAGACAAACTTACAACTGAGACTAAGGGGGGGGGGGGGGGGGGTGGCGGCATGTTTTAGTGGTTCCTCCCTACATATCAAAAGGCAACCCTCAATTTTGCATTCTTAACTTTGTTAATTTATCAGCAGTAAATAAATTCAAACAAGGTCATATTTGCATACACTCGTATGTAAACAAAAAGGTCAAAATTTATGTGCTGGGTATCAGTGAAATTTAGTCTGAATGAATAACGAACCTTCATTGGTTGATAGTTTTAACAAATATCATTGACTTATTTTGAATATTCTCTTGACCAATACGCTTAGTAAATTATTTTACATGATCTCATTATTTTGCTGAATAAAATGCAAAGTTTAATATATGTTAAAATAAGTATTAGTTTCCAAGATTTAGAGGAATAATTTTAATATTTTAAATTCATTATGATTATGTAATAAAGAAACAGCAGTATGGAAAAATGAAAACAAAAGAATAGGGTGACAATGAGGTGATATTGATAAGCACATTGTATCGCTTGATTTTTTATATTTCTTTCTAGATCCTTGAAATATACTATGTTTAATCCAGTGCTAGGATTTATTGTGACCTTATGGTATTATTTTTTTGTATTACTTGTGGTAGATAGAATATAGTGTTATAGTAAATTATAGTAAATTGATGGTGGAATTGAATTTAGTTCTACCTAAGATTTAAATTTTACATAGTTTAAATAAATAAATACAATAATCTATTGTCCATGATATTCGCAGCAATCCCTTGGACACCAGAGGAATTAATAAATGCTTATAAAAGAAGTTGTGAGATCCATGGGTCCAAACCAATTAACAAAATTTTACAGCAGTTGCAGGTAAGCTATCCATTTTGGGTGTTCAAAGAAGAAAAATTAAATTAAAATAATAAATAGCACACCATCAATTATCTTTGTTTGCAGTAAAAGAAATCTAGTAGACATTCATTTTTGAATTTATATGGCTTAAGGTGGTACATTCACACTGGAGATTTGTTGCAGCCACAAAGTCTCTGTGGTGAATCCATGTTGAGAATCCTCTTTAGAGATACCCCCACTTAGGTGTTTACACTGAGCAGGCACAATTTACAACTATGGCTTCTGATGCAGAACTTTTAAATTTATGTGCTAGTGAAAGGGTCAGCGACCTAGGGTTGCATGTGGCACTTAAAATAAATAATTCAGCTTTTTCATTTAATTATGATTTTACCACACAACCAAGGGAAATTAAAGTAAAATTTAAAAAAATCTTTAATTAATTACTTTAAAAAAAAAAACAAGACATCAGTTCTTCTAATATTTAAATTCAAACTTAAATCTATTTCACAAATTTGAATCTTTGAGCTCCAAAAATGCCCATCTGTAGTGGCTGTAGGGATACCAAGAATAATGTGACTAATAATTAACATTTGTGAACAAGCCCTTTCAACTGATAAAATTGGATGCTGTATGATAAAAATATGATGGGATTGTGTCTGTGAATGGCCAGCTGAGAAGATACTGCAACTCTCAACAAACCTGTGAGAAATGAAACTTGTTTGGCCCGTTTTGATTTACAGCATGTGATTCCGAGAAAGATGAGAATCCCAGTAACAAATCTGCAGTGTGAACATACCTTTACAATTACAATTTATAATGCCTAAAACTAGATTTGTAATGTCTTTGTTATATATGAACTTGTTTAAAGTTATAGTTTGAGACTTTATTGCATGTGAGGGTAGGTGGTGCACCATCTTCCCAGGCAATTTTTAAGAGTTTTTAAGTAACTTCAAAAGAATGTTCCACAGAAAATTTATTAAGAAGATCTTTACTATTTCTTCAGATTTATAAATATTTCATTTACTTATTGCCTTCTGATATGATAATGATGTGCTTTCAAGTAATTCATTTCTATAAAATTTTATATGGAGGAGTTATTCCGATATCCAGACTGAAGGCTGAACACCACTTTCCTAAGAAAGACAAAAAGTATAAATGGTGCCCTACTGGAGCTTTGAAAAGGCTATTACAATCACATTTGCATCTGCATTTAAATTTTAACAAAAAATTATATAATTCATTTAAAATATTTTAAAAAACCAATTCACAGGCACTTTCTGCATCAGGGAAACGAGAAGAACTCTTTAGTCTTAAGGGTAAGTCATCTCTTTTTTTCCCCCACAAATATTTCAAAGTGATAAAAGTTACCAGAACTTTTGAGTGTAGCTCTGCAGTCTGTTTGCTTTGGCACACTGGTGTACCACGAGGATGCTAGTTGTGATTCTGCAAAATTCCTCCTAAGGCAGTGGTTCTCAACATGTGGGTGGCAACCCCTTTGGGGATTGAACGACCCTTTCACTGGGGTCATTTAAGGCCATCGGAAAATACATGTGCTCTACAGTTTTGAAGTTTAAACGAAAATAATGTTGCAGTTGGGGTGTCGCCACAACATTAGGAAATGTATTAAAGGGTTGCTGCATTAGGAAGTTTGAGAATCACTGTCCTAAGGGATGAAAAGCATGCAAAGATGATATAATTTTGATGCAACAAAAGGGACAATGATTGTCTAAGTAACAAGCAGTAAAATGTTTGAATTCAAATAGTAGAGCACATCTGCATTTAACAGGTCAGATAACAAGGGACATGCCAATGTGTCTGAACAGACATCTCGTTTGCTGTGGCCTTTAATTGCACATACTTCGTGCCTGTACTAAGTATAATTCAACTATGTGTTGTTTGTTTGTTATAAAATAATTTTTTAAAACACCTCCAGTGTAACATTTGATAACAGATAAATGAAGAATAACCCAACACATCTAAGTCCCATCCTAAATAAGCCAACACATGTAAGACCCATCTTGTCTAGACTGAGTACATTTGTCTTGATACTGTCAAACACAATGACTTTTCAAGTGATATTTATAAACACTTTTTTTTTTTTAAAATGGGACTTGAGGCAACAACAAGGGTTTGGTACTTGGTCTAACATCTACGCTGATGGATGTCATATGCCCATGGGATTAGTATCAGGAAGTCATCTACACTCATGCATGTCATATGCCCTTGGGATAGTATCAGTACATGTCACATGCCCATGGGATAGTTTGAGCAAGTATCTGTGGTTGATTTAAAATGAACGTTTTACTATTCCTTGATGAATCACAGATATGTAGGAACGAAGTTGAGCGTTGGCAAGTCAAGATGTGTCCAACTGGCCTTGTTCATTGTGGGATGTACCTTATTCCTTAGCACACAGAACACAACATTCCAGCATGCACCTGGAAATAACCGGGCATTTCTATTTGTCTTTTAAAATTTGAAATTGAATTGGTGACCATGAAGAGATACATTTTGTGTTACTTGGATATTCTATCCCCAACACCACATCACTCTACCAGATTGTGGCCAACGATTTAAAGGGGCACCTCACCTATTTGCATTTATTCTAGGTTTACCTGAAATCAAAACAATCCCTTACGCGACATCGTAAGTTGGGGTGTCTCTCAATTTGCATACTCTGTTGGGACCTGGTGGGGATACATTAAGATGTGTAACATCTCCACCCATTTCATCACCACTTCTGTAACTTGGTTAAACGCTGGTTGCTATGTCCCTACAGGGGTTGTGATGGCAGTCTGTTGTCCATTATGTAT